GGTTTTGCACAAAGTTGACTAACCAGAAGTCTTTCTGTATGATGGTTTGACTGTTTCAGTCATATTGCTGGATGAAATAAGAGATGTTTTTAGGCTGGCAACTCATCTGTCACAGTGTCAATTCCAGACACTTTGGTGTGAGAACACACAGAAGGCATATATATAGCTGCTCCTTACATGGCAACATTGCTTTCCCAGTACAGCTATTTTCATAGTTGAGATCATACTGTATTTAAGCAGTTTCCCCAAACGTGGTGCTGCTGTGAAAAATCGAGCTGCCAATGCCCATTCTATGCATCCTGTTCTCCTTATCCTCAGTGGCTTCCTGTGACCAGATTTAGTCTAGTAAAGCAAAGCATTTAGTTTATTGGATTTTTGGATTGGTGGCCTAGAAAGTTCTTCCCCTGTGAGAATTTGCATCCTTTAACTTTCTCTCTGGAAAAGACTTGCATTTGCAGCAAGGTACATTTTGTGCATATACTCACTAAAAGTTGAAATGATGCTATAGCTGTATTTAGCTATGAAAAACCCAAACTATTTCAAATACCAAAACACATAAGAATCTGTTAGGCCATTTGTGAGAAGCCTTCTGGAACTAAGTGCTGCTAACTGATGAAAGGCTCTTTCAAGTTTTAATGAACGAAAGCTTCAGAGCACCTGGCTGAGCTTAAATGTGAAAGCTGAATTCTGTTATGATGCTCTTAAAATAGTGCATCTTCTCTGTCATATTTGTACAGAACAGTAAGTGGTTAACTTATTTCTTTGCAACATTTCCCCCATCTTTTGAGCAATGCTCAACATTTTAGAGTACTATTGATGCTGTTATCCTGCTTTTCATTTTTTTTCAGTGCTTGAGCACACTACAGTTTGTCAGGACACAGATAATCCAAAGAAACGAGAGATACATGGAAATGGATCTTTAGCGTTTGGCTATGCACTGAATGCCCTGGAAAGGGGAAAACAAAATTTGGCCATAAACTGTAGGTGTTCTTGAGGTGAAGGAAACACAAAGAGACTCATTCTCTGGAAGAGGGGATGTTGGGTCGGCCCCAGCCTTCTGGGATAATGCAGCCTTCAGGTGAAGCAAAACTGCATTGGGTGATAAGCTTTAGATGACTAGCCCCAAGAGATCCAATCTTGTTAGTTCACGGAAGGGCTAATTGGGAAGTGGTTTAGCAGCCAAATGAGCTGCATGTTTTTCTATTTCTTTAGAAGAAGATATAACTCAACATGACAGCAAGAGAGGTAGATTGCTGTAGAAGATGGCATGAGAGAAAATGGGACAAAAAGTTTCTAACCACTGCTGGTGACTCAGGTGTATCATGCCTTATGAGGAAGTGAGCAGAACTTTCCCTGAATTAGCCCTGTAGTTTCATGTAACAGTGTTTTTAATTCTTAGCCTTCCATGTGATAATTTAGGACAAGTTGCCTCTTGAAACACTAGGTTTACAATCCATAAGCCCTTGTACTTGAGCAGCAGTATGGTTTGCTGAACACTGAGGCTGAAGGTGAAAAGCAGGGGGGAAAGACAAGAAAGTGCTCCTGTTCGAATTTCAGCTCTGATATCCACACTGCTAGACAGGGACAGTGCTATATCATCTTAGTGTCTGTGACTGTCATTACAGCAGAAAGCGCTTAAGGAAATGGACTAGAGATGGAATAGCCACATACAGTCACTTCCTACCAGACAGGCTTTGCAGCTGTGAGCAAGTATTGTACACTAAGTTTTGCCATGGGTTCAGGAGCATAATCAGGCTGCATTAAAGACCTCCCATATTTAAGCCTAACCATAAAATAAGGTTGTTTTATACAAAAGTTAATTTTAAAAGGAAGTGTTTGTTGGGGGTTTTTTTAATCCTCTGTAAAGACAGGAATGCTCTATGAGGATCTAGGATTCCTCCTGTACTTACATTAACAGTTCCACATAACGAACGTTTTTGTTCAGGGCTTCAATTTCTTTCATCTCTTTCTCAGTAAGGGAGAAGTCAAAGATCTAATAGAAGGAGATGTTAGGAATGAGTTAGCATTTCTTGCCATAGTCAACACTCACGTGTTCCGGATTTCAGAAGTACAATCCCTCTTTCTCCCCGTATCTCTCCCACAGATCCATACTCGCTTGCATTTATGGGAAAGTTTTGAGGACATGAATAAACCCAGCCACATTTACTTACACTCCTCTGCAAGAAGGGGAAGGTAGTCTGGCACTACTGAGCCACCAGCTTTGAAGGCAATATGGTGCCAGGGACAGCAGGGAGCAGTGGGTGCTGTGTGCTGCTAGGGGCACAGAAACAAATTCTTCACCTCATTTGGGTGTGGAGGTCAAGCCAGATGTTTTCTGGTGCTGTGACTATGAACCTTTCTGGAACACCTGTATGCAGCAACAATTCCCTACCGAAGCTGTTCCATACCTGAAGACTGGGCTGAACAATCAGCCATTCCTGAGCACCTGCAGCCTGGGGCTGCTGACCTACTAAACTATTTCAACTTGCTTGTGCTGCTCACTGCAGCTATTGATGCTCCGGGATACACCACCAGCTGGAACTTTAGCAACTCCAGAGGCTTGAAAAACACCAAAATTTGCTCTTTGCTTTGCTCTATTATTGTCAATATCATGCTAGCATTAAGTGATGGGGACAAAAAGAATCAAATGTGGCAAAGTTTGACATGGATAAAGTCTTACATAAGTCTACAGAAAGAAATGGGAAAATTGCCTTCTATAGAGGCTAAACCGATGTAAGTGGTTTCATCCATGTACCACTGGAGTGTGAATTTACCTGGAAATTCTCTCTGATGCGTTGTGGATTGAAGCTTTTTGGGATGACCACCACCCCTCGCTGGATGCTGAAACGCAGAGCAATCTGTGCAGCGGTCTTGTTGTACTTCTTGCCGATGGCGTTAAGCACAGGGTCCTTCAGTAAAGGAGGGGAAGACACATTCACCCTGGAAGAAAATTGGGTGTGGGGGGAACAAACCCAAAAAATCCCCTCATTATCTTTAATTTCCAAACACAGAGGCATCTACTTGTTTGTGGACAGAACGTTGTACCTTTTGACAAGAATTGTGAAAGAGAGGAGAAAAGCTTTGGCACTCAGGTTCGCAGGCTGTCAAGGGCAGCTTTCTATGTGACATCCCAATGCTGGCTTACTTTCTACTTCCTCACCTAAGCCTCAAGATTCCCAGTTACAAATGCTTTCTGTCGGAGGAGACCTAAGGCAACCTCCTATACAGACACCCGGCGTATTTTGATGACAGCATGCAAGAGGAGTGTTGCAAGTTTACATTCACAGCAGTAATATTTAGACACTGACATTCAAAACTACTTTGAAAAATAGGGATGAGGGTATTTTGCACAAAGACCCAGCAGTGGAGAACTGGATATTGTCCTTCTATTAGGAAGTTGATACAGGGACTTACCATGATTCATCCCTCGAGGTTCCCAATGGGCTGTACCCAACAATAACAATGTCATGTTGTCTGCAGAATTCTAAGAGTTTGGGTTGGGTGAAGTAGGGATGGCATTCAACCTACAAGAGTAACATGGAAAGAATGATTAATCAGCAGGTCCAGATACAGAAGCAGATGGTGCCCCAATATTTGTGAGAGCTACAGGCCAAGTGATGCGTTTAGGAAAGGATATGTGTAAATTAGGGAATAGGGAAATTTAATCTGTGGTTACTGTTCTAATTGTATGTTGCTGGGTGATGGATTTATTTTGTTTTGTTGGGCAGCAGATCAACATTTGTGATTATAATTTGGCTACAGGGAACTTTGATTGGCCCCCAGTGGGAAGGTGGCAATAAGTGTGGGTGATGGAGGTGAGAGAAGCTCATTAGAGAAGTAGTCTGAGAAGGCAACCCACCTCATGTGGGTCAGTTCTCTGCTTCTCTGCCTCTTGTATTCAGTATGACTAATCTGATGTTTTTAGGGAAGTATTGGCATAAGATGTCCCAGATAGAAAGGTGAGGGGGGGATGAAAGGTGAGATTATGACCTTGCTGCAAGTGCTGCCCTCCCACATCGCAAATACTGGTCCCTTACAAGCAGGGACTTTCTGGCTCTGATCTCAGACTCTGGGAAAGGGATGTCTACAAGGTGACAGAGCAACCACTGTTTGCAGGCAGTCTGAAGCTATCTGGCACATCTGTGCTTGCTGGATAGCTGCCCTAAAATGGGCTTAATCTTTTGCCCAGTTTCTCTCGACCCCAGGCAGCAGCAGCAATGCTCAGTGCAGACTTGTGGGCACGCCAGAAACAGCAACTGCGCTTTGCACCCACTGAGCATGTTAATACCAGTGAAGGGTGGTGGAATTTCCTCCTTTCACAGGCTGCCTTTCCCCGCAGACCAAACACAGAAACGAAGCCTGTGGCCAGCCTCCGTGCCCTGTCCCAGCCATTCCCAGCCCTCCAGGCCATGCACTGAGAGTGGGAAGTTGGTCCCAGTTCATCTCTGGCCCCTTCTCCAATACTGCTAATGCAGGTATTTCTTTGTGCCAGATGAGTCAGAAGAGCTTCCCAGTGATTTCTAGGAAATGCAGTGACCTGCCAAATGCCAGAGCCAAAGGTATGGGGCATTGAGATGGGTCACCTGCTTGGAGCCCAGCTGCTGCAAGCTAACTCAGATGTACCTGTCATATTCAGGGCTTGTTCAGCTTGGACCAGTGATTTAATGGGATCTCTTTTGACTGAGTTTTTTCTCTAACTCTTATGAATGTCTTATAGGAAAGGCACAAGAGAACAAGTACAAGGAATTTAGGAGTTGCTTCTAAAGGCTTTTAAACTTGAGAAGCTTAGAGTGACTTGGGATCCCTGATACTTAGGGTTGGATTGGTGTCAGCTGAGGTAGACATGGCTTCATTGAGGACTGGTGAGCTCTGAATGGTTTGTCTTGGGAGTTTTTTTGGACTTGAAGTAAGGTACATGGCAGAGATTTAAGGTCTGCATTCACTTGGTTACGGAACTTTGGCACAAAGGCACCAGTTTTATAGGCCTGGAGCAGAAATTGAGGTGTGACTCCAGCACCTTCAAATAATGATCTTTAGCCCAGATAGGACGAGTACTATTTTCAAGCTAGAAATGGAAGCATGACAGTATAGAGGGCAGCATCTGTGGTGAAGGATGTCACCTTTCTGTGCATGGTGGCTTAGACTATGTGTTTGCCTTTGCATTCCCTACTGGGCAGTGGCACCGTGGCAGGCACTGCCCTTGGCTTGCAGTCGTACCTGGTTGCTGACAGGTTTGTACTTAAGTCCTGGCTTGTTCATGATCATCTCCAGTTGCCTGCGGTTGAAATTGGATACTCCAATAGACTTTGCCAAGCCTGCATCTTTACATGCCTCCATAGCCTGCAAAGAAAACAAAGACAAGAGGAGTCCCACATGTTGGCTTGATTCCTTGGAGCATGCATTTTAGAGAGAGGTGGAAGACAGACCATTCTTGAGACTGCAGAAAATCCTTTGCTACAGCAGATCTAAAGGCTCTATTAGCATGAGGGCTGGTGTTGTCCAGACATTCCAAACTCGGTTCCTATGTTGACCTGCTTTACACTTTATACCTCCTGTGAGGGTAGAATTTGTCTGGAGAGCAGAAAGATTAACCCGAGATACAGATACTTAAGTGCCAGGCATCTGCTTTCAAAGAGTCTGGCTTACTTTATGCTGCCTTAGCAGTGCCTCAAAGCTGGAGAAAGAAGAGTGAACAAAACAGATTGCTTTCCTGATAAGTCAATTTACTCCTTTTGATTCTAAGATAGTTTTTATATGAAGCCTCTATCCAGTGAAATTCCCTATAAATATCTGGCAAGGCACATCACAAATACTGCACAGAAAACATCAGTACAGTATAAAGTAGGGAAAAAAAGAGGGGAAGGGGAGGGGAATCCTAGATATTTTGCACTTTAGACAAATCCCAATAGCTGAGAAACACTTAAGAATACTGGATATGAATACATGCCCTGGTCTTCACCTGCTTCACCTGCTTGGTTGTTAAGGGAAATGTGGGTCCTTTCCTACAGTCTTCCTCTTTGCTCCCAGAAACTTTTAGCATATATAATTTGGTGACTGTCTGAGGCAGAGCAGACCCCACCATGTAGCTGGATGCCCTTCCTGCTGGTTTTATTATTCCTTCTGCCTCACAGGAGCTGAAAGCAGGGAGGTAAGAAGCACTGTGTGTTTGATGACCTCTAGTTGGCCTCGTATGCTTTGTATCACTCAGTGACAAGTCAGCAAATACAGTCATCTGGAGCCGTTTTTGCCTGCTAGCACCATACTGTGTGAGTGAAGTTATCTGGATTGAGTTCAGCTACTTTTATTTAGACTGATGCTGCTCTGTGCAGGCACTCACCACCAGTTTTTCTCTGGGCTTCTTAGCTGAAGAGAGTGGCCTGCTACAGTAAATCCTTTAGGCACCAGCTCAAAGGTAAAAATGCAAGTGTTGGGAGAGCTGTTGCTTTCAGCATTTGAGCAACCAGCCTGTGAATGAGAGGGATTAACTGCATCAGCCAAAGACTAGAGTAACAGAAACAGCAGCTAAAGTGACAGTCCCCATTCCCTCTGAGACCCAGCCTGGATGGCTCAGCTGCCAAGGGATAGCTCAGGCTCACCCTAGGCTCTCTCCCACTCTGATTTTTCACTCTTACTTTCACCGTTCTCCGTCTTTATCTGCTGTACTTCCAGTGGAGCTAAAGTGGGACATGGCTGTCCAGTCTGGACAGTGCAAGCTGAAGCAGAGCCTGTAGTAGCACTTGTCATCTCTTTTGGTGAGAATTGGGCTGAATTTGTGATGCTTTTTCATCAGAACTAGTGCAGAAGGAGAACTGACCAGCTCTGGCCATGAACCAAAGAGTGTGCATGAGACACTACGAGAGGCAAGAATGTGAGGAGATTGCTAATCTCAGTTTCTGCCTCACCCAAGATCCTGAAGCCAAGTGACAGTAGGCTCAAGGAGGCATTTGCCTATAGGACTAGAGCACATCACAAACAAATTTAGGATGCAATCTTTCAGGCAAATTCTACTTCTCTCCAAGTTTCCTTACCAGAAAGATCTTGAGTTCCCATCTGATAAGGAAATTTAGAAGTGAGTGAACTTGTTTGAATGGCAAGTGATGGCAAGGTCTTGGATTTTTTTGGTAGGGAATTTTGTTTGCTTGCTTTGTTGTTTGGTTTTGTGGTGGTTTTTAATGGTAAGCTTTAGGTCAAATTCTATTTTTTTCTTGAAGGTGAAAATATTTATTTTTTAAGAGGATCCAGTCTCTTCTTAGGTCTCCAACTTTCTTCTTCCATAAAGACTTGATAAAGAGCAAAGACCAGTAAAATCCTACTGATAAAAGCCTCAAGTGGTGAATGTAGAGTGCACTCTCTGAGAGAAGGAATGTGGATGTCAGATATTTCAACAATGTTTTGTTTTGTTATAAAAATAATTAAGTGATAGCCAGAAGCAACATCCTTAGGGACAGAAGTAAAATTTATCCATGGACTTAATAGAACTTGATCCGTTTGCCCTGGCAATATGCTTCAGCTATGTTTGTGAAAACCACCAGTAAAACTGAGGCTGAGGATCTGTGGTTTTAAAGCACACATGGATGGATGCTGTGTTTGCTTACCTCCCAAGTGGCACATAAGTCTGTCTCATGGTAGATAAATTTTCCATTTTCATCTTTTGGGTAGAGTGCATCTCCAGGCTGAAAAGTAAAACCATATTTTTGTGCTTTAAAGAAAAATTTTTCACTCCTCAGAGCAGAGTTTTCCACAGACTCTGTTTCTCCTAGCAAGCAAACAAACAAACAAACAAAAAGTATTGAAAAGCTTTCTGAAACACCCTAGGTTCAACAGGTCATTCATGCTGGGCTTACCATATCCTCAACTGCTCAATTGTCCTTGGATACGCTCCTGAGCTCTCACATGTGCATACACTCAGGAGTTCTCAGATGGCCTTGCTTTTCAGTACACTTTTGACCTTTATGTTATGGCATCCAAAGGACTAGTCTTCCAAAGGACTAGGTTAGAGTACCAACTTGTATTCTCTTCTACTTCTCCCCTCCTTTCTTCCTAGCCCTTCCCCTGATCCTGCTTGTCCTAGGCACCTGTGAAGAGTACCAGCTCAGTCCAGTTCCCAACAGTTGGAGGGACCAAGAGCTACCAGCAGTAAAGGACTACATGCATTGCTAGCCTCTTAAGTGCATTATCCACCTTTGTTTGGGCACTAGAAAATCTTCTGATGCCTGCACCCTGCAGACTTCAGAGAGGAGTTATGAGCTGATATCTCACAAGCATGATTTTCTCTTGTTTGCTGGTCATTTCACTGCTGCTGTAGGCAATGCATAAATATCTCCCTCCTTTTTGTCTGATCACAATTTCACTTTTCTCTCTCTCTTTTTTAAATTTTTTTTTAACCAAAACCCTTCAGTGATGTTTGACATTTGATCTGACTTAAAACCACTACATTTCAAAGGCCTGGGTACAAGATGTTGACATGGTAACTCCTTGGGAACATGCAGCTGTGACTAATATGATCAGTAAGTGACACCTCCCAATTCAGTCAAGTTCAAATTCAAGGCATTTAATGGGAAAATTGAGCCTAAGGAAAACACAGCCTCAGATTTCAGAGGGCCAAGGTCTAAGTCACAGGCATGAGCCTGTCTCCTCCAAATGTGCTGGGTTTACCTCAAAGAATTCCACAAAGACAACTCATTTCTTTTGTTCCTGTGTCTTGCTGGAAAAAAAAAAAATAAAATCTTGACCTGCTGGGAAAAAAAAAATCTTGACCTGAAGGAGATAGGTTGTTGTTGGGTACATGTTTTTCTATTAGTATGCAAACTGTTTGCCATCATAATGTGAGGTGGACAAACCTTATTTATAAAACCACACCATGGTATTTTGGAACAAACCGTTCAGCCCCAGGATACCCCAGCACAATCTCCAAGGACTGCAAGGTCAATATATAGCAGTTGGACTTCAACTTCGGAGTTGAGTCTGAATTCAGGACCTTTTCACTCTGCTCTGCTTCTAGTTCATTAAATTCTTTTCAACATCTCTTTCCTTAGTAGTCAATAGACAGCAATTACAATAGCTGATTTATCATCCTCATTGTTTTCCTCTATTTCTATCACTTTTGTTCTGAAAAATGAACCAAGCCAGGATGAACAGTGCTTGCAAATGAACTTCTCTTGACTAAATTGTATCAACTATTGTGGATTTCCAGAGGGATCAGTGCTTCCTCCTATCTCCCGAGAACTCTGCAAGCTCTTGAAGTGCAGTTGTCTGCTCAATAGTCTCCAGGCAATACCTTCTCTGCCAAGCTACCTTTTTACACAAGGGAATTCTTGAGTGGAAGAACTGTCTGCAGATGGATAAAGGGCTGAGAGAAAGGCAGTTTTGATGGTGACAGGGTGGTGGTTACGGGGTCTTTGAAGAGGTCTTTCAGAAGCTGGTCACATTACTTAGCTCTGGGTTCTCATGAACCTCACTGTATCAGTCATTCCTACGATAGCTGTTGTCTTCTCTCACAGTTGTCTTGGAGTTAGCCTCATGCTTTAGACTGAAGGTAAAGGTGGCTTCCTACCATGCTGCCACATGAGCACTGAAATAAGTATGGCAACACTGTACAGTCGCTTCCACTATTCAAGTATCACATCACGTCATATTCAAAGTCTGGAGGCACTCCAAAATATACCAGACAACTTCCTTGGCTGTTTAAAACACAACCGTTGTTAACCACTGAGAGGACAAGCCTGCTCCCCATTACAATAATTTTCTCACCAACACAGCTGCAGGAAGACAGGTCTGCACATCCCACTGATTTCATGAAATTGTCTTTGACAAGCAGGCTTTCTCAAGAAAGAAATCTGAACAACTTGTAATGTCTGTTCTATAAACAGAAGGCAGTAGGAAGTCAAATAGATCACTGGTCTCTTGCAAGTTACTCTCTTAAAATGACAAGATACTTAGGTGATACTTGTTCAGTGTAAGTCTAAAATACCTGTTTTCCTGGCAGATCATAGAATAAATCTGTTGGGAATGATCTGCAGATCATTTAATGCACAGGTGTCTGCTTACTGATGGATCAACCATCTGAGCAGAGTCCCCTAAAACTGCTGGTGCGTATTAGCTTCCCAGCAGAGGGCTTGTGGTGGCCTGGAGAAGATCTGTTCCTGTTGGTCATCTGCTTTGCTAGCATAGAGGGGCTGAGCACCACTGCTGGAGGAACCTATAAGAGGGAGAAATGCAGGGAGGTGCAGGCTAATATTGGTAGGTCAGTGAATGTCACTCCAGGTGTTGGCCATGCTTGAGCCACTGAGAAGTGCTAGCATGGAGGGGCTTTCCTCCTCCGAGTGGTGCCCTCTGAAACCAGGTTCCTCTTACTGTGCCAAAAAGCCCCTAGGACAACATGCAGTGTTGACTGGGCTCTGCAGGGGCATGTTTCTTACTGTTTGCAGAGTGGGACTCTGAGTTCTGTCTCAAGTACTTCACTGATGCCAAACAGACTGCTTTTGCTGGAAGACTTTTGGAGAGACAGGTAAGCACCAATGTTTGAAGGCTAAGAGAGAGTAGGAGTTTCTTAGTGTTACACCTGCACGCTCCTCAACAAAGGCAAGCATCACAGGCATGAGGGGTGTATTTGTGAGAGAGGAAGCGAAGAAAAGGAATCCTGTCACCATTGCAAAAGGATGTGGCTTTTTCTTCTTGTACTTGGCATGGGGAAATGTATATTTTTCAGGCAGAACGTGGCTTCTTTTTTTCTCCCCTCTCACAGGGGGCATGAATGCATCCCTAGGTCTGCTACTCCTTCAACAACTCAGATTGTTGACACAAGCCTCAGGGAGTCAGACGTACATTACTTTAAAGCCAGCTGTCTATATCTTTATGTTGTGAGACAATGACCTTCACTATGTGGGAGAATGAACTACTAGAGAACACAAACACAAGCAAAGGGAAACAGGAAATTGCTAGTGGTGGGAAATTTTCAAAAACGTACCCAAAAGGATTCCATACGTGGGACCGTATAAATAAAGTCTTAATATCTGAGTCTGGTAACTCCCATACAGGTTTAAATAAGATATGACCTCCTTGGGAAGACAGGACTGCAGGTCTAAGGCTATAGCCCCCTTGGTAAATTGCTTCCTATCTGATGTTTCTGGTAGTTTGGAGTCTGTAGCAAAAGAGTATTTTAATCATTGGAGAACTACCTTCCTTGCAAAGAGAGGGCAGTTGAGAGCTTAAACATCTCTTGGTAACAACTAGAAGAAGAAGGATTTAATTGGTTCAAAACCACTTAACTGTTTTGAATATCATTCCTTTCAATCTTGTCATTCATTCCAATGTTATTCCATTTGCCTTTATATCATGTAATTGCGGAGGAATATTGTACTGCAAGGTTCAAAAAGTTTGCCTGTAAGTTGCCCAGAGCCAACAGTACAAAGGAGGCTTTAACTTTTGAGGGTGAGAGATGAATAACCTGTATTTGGGACCAACTGTGATCTACTGAAGCTGTCTGAGAGGAGCACTGCAGTTATGGAGACGAAGGTCAACCATGATTTGCCCAGTAGTTTAATTTGGGACAGAGTAAGGAAACCAACTTGGTGGCTTTTTTCCCTTTCTCTCTGCCCCTCCAAACTTTGACCCTAGCCCATCACTGCTTTGTACAACTGCTTTCCTCCTGTGACTTCCTCCTCATGGCTTGGAGAGGATTCAGACACATGTACAGCTTCAGCTACAGTAATTCTTCAGCATAGGAAGTGCACAGCCCTAGTTAGGAGACCTGTCCTTCCAGGGGAAAGATTCCATGCAGCAGCTGTCATTGACTGTTCTCACACCGCCTATACGCCTCTCTTTGTGTGGGTAGTGCACAGAAACATATGCATGCAGTATACATCAAACATTGTCTGACCAAAGTCCCATTTTCGGCATAGGCTGGAAACGACAAGGAATATGCTAGATGGAAACCTTAGTTCAAGCAAAGTTCATGTACTTTTTGCAAACAAGTTTTCTTTTTACCTTGAAAGCCATTGGCAGCTCAATAATGTAGAGGTCAACGTAGTCCAGCTGCAGGATCTTCAGGGTTTTCTCCAGTGTGGGACGCACCAGCTCTGGGGGGTGGCAAGTATTCCACAGCTGGGGAGGCAAGCACAGGCTCTTTTCTGGGTGCCAGGAGGAACAGGGAGCCAGCTGAAGCCCTCCGACACTCACTCACTCACTCACTCACTCACTCCTCACTCACTCGCCACTGCTCATTTCTGCTTGTCTTTCTGTCAGAGCCTGCCAGGCACAGTGCAAAGACATCATCGTTCTACGTCACTGCAAGGCAAAGATGAGGGGCCTTACCCTGTTCTCTGTCAGAGCCAGGTGCAGAAATTCTTGCCCGGCACTGATGCAGTGCTGACCCAGTAGAGCCATTACCACATAGGTTCTTGTGAGCTGAGTATGTTGCAAACTGTTGCTCTGTGAACTTAGGCAGATTCCTTTTGTTTTCCAAGCTTTCCAAGCATATGCTTTCACTGGAAAACTTTGTTCCCACAAGGAATCTGTGGTCAGTTTTGTGCTTGAAGGCAGAAGCTTGGGTCATGTGAGTTAGTTATTGAACAGGCAAGTGCCCGGCACAGAGAGAATCTCTTGGTTTTCTCCCATGGTGATGGAGCCCGAGTGACTGCCTGAGCCAGGGACATTTTCATTTGCTGTCCAGTCCTCACCGAAAGATGTGTTTGTGTTTAGTCACTGTAACACAGGCGTGACCAGTTAAAGAACAGTCTTTTCCACCTCTTTAATCCAAACTGCTTCCTTTTGGGGCTATGCCCTGAGGTTGCCATGGAGTGTGCTTACTCTGTTAGCATTCAGCACTATCTCTAACTGAACTCTGCTGATGCAAATCTCTCACAAGAATAAAGCCATAGCATGGTAATTAGTAACCAAGAGCTCTTTTTAAACTGATTGCTGCTGTTTAAAATTGACAAAACTCAGAATTAACACACAATAGAAGGTTTAAAGTGCCATTTGAATGCACACAATAAGCTGGGCTATTTAAATTTCTGTTTATTTTGCAATGCACAAAACAGACATGTGGAGTCATGCTGAGGTTTTTATCACTTTTGTTGGCTGCAAAAACCTGCTGTTTGCTGATATGGTCATTATCTAGTCAGTTCTGCCACCAAAGCTGAGAGCCACTGCATGCCAAAGTATAGAATTAATTAGTTCCTGAGACACAAAACACTTGGATTGCCTTTTTTGGGAGAAGATGTTGATTATAAGTGTCAAAGGGCATAGCCTAGGAAGGTTTTAAGGTATTTCAGATGCTTCGTTTTGTTTTGGTTTTTTTTAAACCAGGTTGTAGTTATTCCTTGGGTAAACCATCTGCTCAGTTCTGCCAGCAGAGACAAGACACATTATCTTAGAGTTAAGTCATGCTGAGAGCAGCACATCTGACCCTGCCACAAGCTGACAAACTAAAACAAGGTTTGGCGCCTGGAAATTCATACTAGGCCCTCCCCAGATGTATGTTGCAAGGTGTGGAGAGTTTATGATCAGTAGACTGTGGAAAGAGGCTGAGGTGTGCTACAGAAAAAGGTACCAAGGTCCTGCTCTCAAGAGTTTTAAGTTGATCCCTGAATTTCCTGAAAGCCTTTGGTCTGTGTGTTTTTTAAGCATTTTGTATGTAAAATGAGCTTACCTTGTATTTAAATAAAGAAATTAGTTGTATACCCTTCATGTTCAGTTTTGTCACTGTGTTTTAGAAATTTAGTATCCTGAGGTACATTGATATTTTCCAAATGCCCTTTCTAGCCCACTGCTATTGAAGTCAGCACTTGACATTGAATATACTCCCCTGTAAGAAACTGCAAAGGTTCTAAAGAAACAGCCTTTAGAAACAGCAAACACTTGTACTATGCCAATACATAGATGCCACAGAAACTTGAGAGTTTCATAACTATTTTCATGATTTATACAAGTCATTGTATACAAGTCATCTACTTAAGTAGACCCATGTAGATGTTGGAGCGGTCAAAGCTGCCAGCTGGCCTTGGCATTGCAGGACACCACATTTCCTGGAAGTGTTACTCCTAGTTTAATGAAAGAAATATCCTGGGATGAAAGAGGAGACCGAAAAGGTCTTGCTCTATAAGCCAAGTGAGATGTTGGCAGTTGATATAAAACCTCTAAAATTTCTGGATGCTAAACTGCTCTGCCTGATCAGCCAGCCAGCAACAGGAGCCAAGTGCAAGTGCTGCTGATTTCAGCTGGCAGATGCAGCCCGATCACACCAGGTCACCGCTCCAATAACACTGACACTCAGCAGGGCTGCTCTCATCAGTCCCTGTTGATGGACCAGCTTTCCATCTGCATCCTCTTTGTTTAAGGAAAGATCTTCATGAGGGCTTGAGTCTGAAGAGGCTTAGGAATTCTAGTGCTTCTGCTGTCAGTAAGGCAGAAAACAAAACTAAATTCTGTGGTGCTGACTGCTTCCAAGAATGGTCTACTCTATCTACTGTGTTTCCCAGAGGATGCAACAGTTCATACGAGTCAGTTACCAACCTACTGGTGACTTGATATTTGCCTGAAGTTTGTGAGATACATACGTTTGTGAGGTATGTAAAACTACATAAGCTCATAAGGCAAGGGACATCCATTCCCACTCCTCCTGGGAAGTTCAGAGCTGCTGTGAAAACATTCAGTGAAACCTGTGAAAATCCTGGATTGTGATGGATTGAGTTGGTTGCAAAGTATTTTCCACTTCTGTCTTTGAACTCTTTAAAGACTATGGAAATAGTATAATGAACTCTCACCCTGAGTACCTGAAGTTTTGTCAAGCACAAGCAGGATGCAGCAGTAAGATAAATCCATGTGTGTCCCGTCTCACAGTCAAAAGGTGGGCTGGGACCGTGGGCACTGACTGTTGTGGTGGTGTGTGTTGCAGCCTCTGTGGCTTGCATGATCTGCAGTTTTGCAGATATTCAAGTAGTGATTGTCAACTAGGAGAATCATCTAATAATTGGATCAGACAAGTGAATATAGAAAGCCTTAATCAATAAAGAAAGTTTGGAAGTTTTAGCAGGAGATGCTCTTTCACAGAACCTAAAGGTTGGTACAGGAAAATAAACTGCAGGGGAAGCAGTTGGGGAAGTTAGGACACTCAAAATTGTTAGAACATCTGGTTCTAACCTTTTGGCACAACTTGATGGTTTTTATTTGAAACATTACTGATGATTTGCAGAAATGAAATGATAAAGCATTGAAACCAAATACTTTCACTGATCCAAATCAACATATTAGGCATACGAGAGACTGAGGAACTCCCCTGATAACAATAGAAAGTTTGAGGACATGAAGCTTTTCTTGGAGATGGCAAGGTTGTTACCAGTAGAACCAAGCAGGAAACTTGGAAAAGAGTTGCATATTTTACAGATTAGAGATTGCTGTACTTGGAAATTGGTTGAGAGCTGCTGAAAATCCACTTGGTTTGCAAACTACCCAATCCAAAGCTTACTTTCCCAGATTATGGAACTTAACTGAAATGCTCACAGTAAACCAGACCTTTTATCCCATGGGATCTTTCACTCTAGGAACAGTGGTGTTTATTTGCAAGTCTATTGAGTAACTTTTGTGTATTACGTGTATTATTGGGAAAGAAGAAAGGGAAAATATTAGACTGATATGTTCAAAGCAGCACTGCAGGAAGGGCAGTCTGAGGCCACAAACTCCCTTGGAAACTGGCAGGCACCATCAGTCTTTATTCTGCAATGAGCTGTGTCTCTTATACCTGGGATATGGTCATTGTACTTGTAACATCTTTTGTCAGATGCTTTGTTGGACAAGCGATTTCATCCTTCTATGAAAGAATCAACTGTTACAGCGAAGATCTAAAAGTATAAACTAGCTCACGCATTACCCCAGCCTCATTGCTCTCGAGCAGAAGTATAATGACATCCTCTCTCCAAGTAAGTTGATTCATCATCCTAGAACTTTTTAATGACAGGTGATACAGTAACTAAGGGTGTAGCATGATGAGTAATTTTCTGGCAGTAGCACCAGTGTAAGCACTTGCTGTTCTCCCGTGCACAGACATTGGCATGCACGTGCTTGCTCCCACCCTTTTCATTGTGCAACCTCATGGCAAACCTGTACAGGGAATCACTCTAATAGAAAATAGCTCATTTGCAGGATCATTGTCCAGATCAGGCTCAGTGTGTGACTATAAAAATATGTGTGCCAGCACATGTGGTACAGTAACAGACTAGGCAGCATGGCTGAGTGTAGCAATGGTCCTACAGGACTAAACAAAATGGATATTGCATGGTTCCCATTGCTCTCAGAGGTCTGAACATCTGAACAGTAGTTCCTGTGCTTAACAGCAAGTCTAGTGTTCATAAAGCTCTGCAGCACTGCACTATGGTAATGCTAGGAAAGAAAACTGAAGTATGTTGGATCTGGAAGGAAGCATGCCAGATGCTGACCACTGACACTCTTAAGAAAGACCATGAATATCCTGGATCTAGTGTAACTAATCTGAACACAGGTTCTCACCTTGCCACAGTAAAAAATGTCTTCTCGCTTGATCTTTCCTTCAGCGATCTTCTCCCGGATGGCTTGTCCCACTTCATGCTCATTGTAGTAGACAAAGGCACCGTCGATGTGGCGGTAACCAGTATCAATGGCAATCTTCACTGCCTCCAGACAGGTACCCTTGGGAGTCTGACAGGAGAAGGGAAAAAATAAACATAGATTCAGCCTCCTGCTCGACTCTCCATCAATGCTACAGAACCCGTGAGATATGCACAAGATTCATGCTGGAATTCACCCAGTCTGATCATCCCTTACCTCCCCAGACACCTGTGTTTTAGCTTCTAAATTAAGGTGCTGTGCACTTTCCTCCAAAACTCTTGTGAATGTGGAGATAGACTGGAAAAAGCAGCAAAGCAAAAAAAACTCTGTCTGTGAGAGTACTGGAGTCCCCAGAAAGTAGAAGTGAATGTATTTTGATAGGAAAACTATTTCAGAATTTCATATCTAGAGAGCAAGGGCTTTCCTACAACAGCTATTTGACAAAATCCCTTACTCAAGTGGACATGCCTTCATGCTTTAGCAGGGCTGCTCAATCCCCTGCTGATCAGAGGCTGTTTGAATATCTTTAAGCAGTGCAGGAATTTGGATTTGACTTCTTTCTCCTCAAATCAACTTACTGTTGGTGGTATCACAATCTGAAGGGTGATAGCTCAGGACTGTCTACTGGTGTTCCCAGTTCTGGACAGTTGCTCTACTGGGTGGTTAAGAACCAGTAGCTGCTTTAGTGTACATTAATACACATTTTACTGCTTCAGTTTAAGATGAGCCCGAGAAACCTCCAAATAAGTTCAAGTGACATTTTTTTACTGTGTGCTGCATTTATGTTTACTCAACTTTGCCAAAATTCAGAGTGAGCTTGGTTTTTTCAGAAGAGTCATATTTTCCATATTTTTCATTAGCCAACGTGGCAAGCAAAGTGAAACATAGGCCAAACCAAGCAAAAAAAGCATAAAACTGGTTACAGAAATCATCTGTCTGGTCACTGGAATTGTACTGAAAACATCTTGTTCCTACACTCTGTGTAATGAGAGAGCAGCTCTAAGCAGTAGTGGTCAAGGGCTCTTGGCAACACACAGCAACACTGTTCTCCCACCCTTTTCATGGGCATTGCTCTGCTGTGACAGGGAGAGCTGATTCACCTAAAGAAAAACTGGAATAGGGTGAGTCAACCTGCCCCATTGTGCTGGTGTCTGCCAGCAACAAATGCCAAGACTGGAATTTGGTACCTGCAAGTGCGGGGCCAAGACCACACTGCTTCTCCTATGAAGAAAACAGATGCCAGAGACATCTGGAAATGAGACGGTATGAAGAGATAATGTTAAATTTGTTGGTTTTGCTGGCGCCAAGGGAAGACAAGAAGCAGGACTAGCAATAAGTGTGGTTGGGAAGGACCACTTTTCACCATAGCAATAGCTCTCCCTCCAAGATGTTCTTCTACAGCTGCCTTTGGTTTGGCTGTCCAGGAGTTTTTCATAAAATAGACAGCTGCTTTTCCACCACCTGCTGAGCTAGAAGGTGTGAAACTCATAGCTGCCATAGAACGTTTTGGTGACTAAGGACATTGGTCTTCCCTTCCACGTTCATTGAAGTCTGTGAAGGACAGCTGAAGACATATGGGGGTCAACTTCTGTCATTCAGTCCTAGAGCTGTAGGCAGATTATTCTGGGATAATGGGACTGCATCCCAGCCTGCTTGCTCTGCTCTTCAGCTTCCCATCTTGGCTGACTGCTATCGGACACAAATGGACCAACTTCTGTTTGGGTTTGGAGAGACTTTCTGCTCCAGCATGCAGTGCCTAAAGGGTACTTAAAACGCAAAGCTGCTCATGCTTGCCCTGATTTATTACAGATGTGAGCAAGGGCTGAGAGGCAAAACGGCACAATTTGGCACTCTAAGGTATTTACAGCAGTAATGATGCAATATTGTGTGCTTCATTGAGAGAGACAACGAAACACTTGTCTCGATCCTTTGCTGCTTTTGTTGCGGCAGCCTCCCAGAGGCACGCTTGGCCCCTGCCAGGGCCCTTTCCTAGTTGTGAGCAGGACGTAATGAAGACCATGGCAGCTAAAAGCCTTTCAGGCACAGTCAGTGGCTACTTTACACTTGGGGCATGTTGGGCAGCATTACAGAAGCACAAGGCATGGAGCAGTGACAACCTCCAACATGTTCGCTGCTTTGTCCCTGCCTGAACCTGCAAGAAAGGATTTGAGAGAGGCATCAAGAAAAAGGCTCTGACATGAGTACTACAAGCCTGCAGTTAGTGATGGCAGTAACCTCAGACCTCCGACCCAGTAATGAGCCGCATGAGGCTGTAGCTGCAGTTGCAAAGCTCAAGCTGACCAGCACAGAGCAATGGGGTTCAGCTGAAAGGTCTGGTGAGATCAAGTCTATATGATGATTAGTTCTCCAAAAGGGAAATAGATTTCAAATAGTGCAGTCAGTGTTTTCTCTCTGAAACCCATTTTTTCAAACAGTGTGACTCTTGGATTGCTTCAGCCTGTTTGACTTTTACCATTCAAGTGTATGAAAGCAGAACATTTAGAGGACAGTGATACCTTAATACAGAAATATTTTTTTAAACAAAATTGAGTATTTTTTTACTTTTTCCATTTGTGAAGAATCTGAAAACGGAGAGACTGCATGAACAGAGCTCCCTGTTGCTTTCCTGAAGCTGTAAACTAAAGTAAGGAAATGTTGGTTATTGAGTTATGTCTTTTCTCATACACCAAGGCCAGTTGGGTAAGTAAGAAAAGCAGAAGGAATAGGTAAAGAGAGATAGAGTCTCAGCATAGCTGCAGACTTTGGAGAAGGGTAGAGGAGAGGAAGCTTGCTGTTACTGCCACTGCCTTTGGCTGAGTCTGTTCACTCATGTTAGAGCTGAACTTTGTGTATTTAATTTTTTTGCATGGGACTTATATCTGTACAAAGAATCTTGTGAAAGACTCCTACATCTCAAGGAATAATCTTATTCTTTAGGGGTTTGGGGAGGCTTTTTTTGGATGGGATCTTGATTACCAATGGATGGAGATGGCTTTGCATTAAATACAAATGTTTTCATTGCAGTAGTTCATCTCATCTGATGTGGTATATTAGTTCTGATGGATTCTGGTCTAAGGAGCTTCATATAAAAATGCAAAGCCACCTTGGGAACAGTTCTTGAAAAATTCTGCCTCTTGAACCATCCCAGTTGAAGGCATCTGTGAGTCTGGAAACTTTATACCATATGTTTATTTTCATCCTGATGGAGAAACTGTAATTTCTAGTGTTTCATATATTTAATCCTTCCAACTCCTGCAGTAATGGGCTGTGGTAAACTGTGCTGATGAATTGCACAGGCTAGTTGTGTTGTGGTATTGCCACTCTTCAGAAGTGTTGCCTTAAGAGTTGTATTTTATACCCATGTTTCCAGACAGAGCATATTAAAGCTGGATGACTCAGGTCACCACTGCTTGTTCATCTTTCAATCAGAGAAAGCACAAAACTGGATCTTTCCCATCTACCTTGCTGCTTCCCCTGAGGTGTTTTAATCTCTTCTGTCTTTCATGGAATGAAAGTCTTTAGTAGTGACCAGACCAGAGGTTACCAACTGAAAACCAACCTTTATTAACATGCAGATACACGTTTATGATATGCCTATGTTGTATAAGGGTTGGCACCACTTCAGTCAGAGCAGCTGATGGAACAGTATCTCCCAGGCTGTTTGGCCATGGAGCGGCCTCCTTTACCTGGAATCCCAGGCCTCTTCCTAACCCTTACTGCAGGTTATCCTCACTGGTATATGTTATCTGAAATGTGGTTGCCTATGCTATCTACTCATTTCAGGTAGGTCTTTATTCTTGCACCATTCCTAAACAACCAGGGCTCACATTTAGAGCAGGACAAATCCCAGATGAGGTACCGAAATATCTCCATACCATAAACCTTTGTGCCTTGTTAGTAGTAATTCAAGACTCTTTGGCTTTGGCCTTAAGACAAATCTTGGCATCTTTATTACTTTTTATGTAAGTGTAGATAAGAGCTGTGCCTGCTCTATAGCTGTAATTAATGTTTCAGCTTCTAATCAGCATGGCCTGCAACTATGCTACTTTGATCAAGGACTTGTTTTAGAACCGGAATTTTATACCCACTTGTGTAAGTCACACATTTATCTTCAACGCTCTTGCAGTCACTAATTCGTGTCAAAACAAAAGCATTAAACTTATTGCATGCTTTATGATAAAAGAACTCCTTGGTTGACTAGAACAACTTGCTCAATCACTAATAAACTTCTTCAATAGCATCTGTGTTGTTTTTAAGACCATGTTTAAGGAAACACAGAGAATTATTCCTTCTATCAATCAATAGCTTGTAAACCTGCTGATTTACCACCGTGTGTGACAGATTAAACCAGTGTCTGTTTCCTTCAGGCTCCAGGGTGAATAAATCCAACAGAAGGGCAGGGGGAGCAGACTCAGATGTGCACCTTCACTCAAAAAAAGGAAGCAGCAATTTGGCCCCTTCTCCACAGATGAAGTAGCCAACTGGCCAGTTACCACTTTCTATGAGTCTGAAAAAACAATGTGTTTCATCAGTTCTGTCTGTCTGAAAGGGTCTGCTCTCTTTTCCTCTCAGACCATAAACTTTCTTAGTTTTTAATGTTTATTCCAGACACCTTCCATCAAAAACTATTGCTACTATTGCTACCATAGCAAATGTACAGCTTCAGTTTTGTTCATGATTGCATGTGACCAAGTCACAGGAGATACATTTGTGCAGGCATACCCAAGACTTCTAATGTTCCCTCTCAGGCAGAACAGTATTTGCTCGGCAGTGTTAGTGGTTGTAACTCACTACTGTTATTTAGTGCCACAGTTCAGCTGCCCTCCAATCCTTTTGCTTTCTCTATAGCATCTTTTTCTGGTCAACAATTTCCATTGGCTTTTCGGCTGGCAAAGAGGGCTATCTCCCAAGGCAAAGCTAACAGGACACATTAACAGCAGGCAATAATCTTGCAAAGTCGTGTGAACAGCTACCGTAGCCACTGCTTCTACAGATGTCTTAACATCCTTCTTTTCCTTTATTCTCTATTTGTGCATACAGTAAAGGAAAAGGGTCTGACTCAGGCTCTTGGATTCTGCTCTGCCTTGTTT